AATGCACTGCCTGAGAATGTGATTGATGGAGGTTCAATTGAGTTTTGCAAAAGAGAATTGGTTCATTATTTGTTAAGGAAAAATCTTATGGTGAAAAGGCAAGGGAATGGCAATAAATTAATTACCCCTTCAGAGGTCCAGACACGATGGATCAATTGGCCTAATTCTGTGCAGTAATCATTCAGTGATTCTAGATTGCTCAGTCACTGCTGAATCATAAAGCACTTGCGGCTGAGACAAGGTAGATCAGTACATCACTCAACAACCTCAACTATGTCAAAGGTATTTTATTAAATTTGAACTTGGTAACCACTGCTTTCAGGAGAGGCATAAAAGAAACTATAGTGACTCAATCATTTGTTTCTCCAATCCCAAATTAAGCCAAATGATCCACATTATCTTTCCTGATAATCTACTTTGAAGTCTTAATAGCACACTCAGTGGTATAGTGCATTAGAATCATTATCTTTTCAATGTGGTTTAGATATAGTCTAAATTCCTGGGGTGAATCCCTGGGCCAAAATTTTTGTTCACAGGTCGTGAACACAGAGTCTGACATTTTACAGTGCTAAAAACCCAAACAATGAGATAAATGGGGTGGGGTAGCCATTTACCATAGCTAGCCTGCACATCCCTGAACACTACAGGCAATTTCAGCATGGACAATCTACTGACGTTGCACATCTTTGGTCTGTGGGAGGTAACTGGAACGCCCGGCAGAAACGGAAAATGTGCAAACTCCACATAAACAGTTGCCCAAGGCTGGATCTGGATTTGAACCCGTGCCCCTGGTGCTGTGAGTCAACAATGCTAGCTACCAAGCCACCATGCCATGCCATCTCTTGCACTTCACACACTCCTTTACCAATGTATGCCCTCATCTATTCCCATAGACCCTCATACCCTCCATGTTGAATTATGACTCATGGCCCTTTGTAGCACTATGCTAACTTAGCACCAACTGATGCTTCCCATACAAAATCTTTTGCCCTTACACCCTCTCTGCAAACTCACTCAGCATATACCATGGAGAGACTTGAAGTTCCACCCTGATCTTGAGTTCTTAAGTCTCCATTGATAAACTCACTTCTAAAAAAACTGATGTTGAGAGAAAATTTGTTACATTTAACTTCCTTTAATCCTTTATAAAGCAAACATTTGTATTCATAGTCCCACTTCAAAAATTTGACATGCACATGAAGTTGTCAATTAAACTGTGCATGATAGGCAATCCACTAGTTGTGAAATCAGTCATGGAGCACTAATCTTACAACAGCCCTCAGACTTAAGTCAACCGAGTAAAATTGCTAGCACAATGTTTATTTTAACACTGAAGATCATTTTTCCACCCAAACATTTGAAGGGCAAAAGAGTAAATGCCTTGACAGCTTCCTCAGATGTTTCTAATGAGCAAGCTTAACAGTTTCAATGAGTTTAATTTTTACGGACATTCATATCTGTTTTTCACAATTCCAAAGGGTACTTGACCTTTCCAAAAGTGTCTCAGCATATCTGACAAGGGCAATTTATCACTCTGAAAGGACATCCTACGTCTCCCAAGTACATCAGTAAGTTTAAACCTTCTCAAGATAGGTCAAAGTGTGCAAGAGATAGCAAGAACTGCCGATGCTGGAGTCAGAGATAACACAGTGTGGAGCTGGAGGAACAGAGCAGGCCAAGCAGCATCAGAGGAACAGGAATGCTGACATTTTGGGTCGGGACCCTTTTCTCTGAAGAAGGGTCTGGACCCTCAAAACGTCAGCTTTCCTGCTCCTCTGATGCTGCCTGGCCTGCTGTGTTCCTCCAGCTCCACACTGTGTTATCTAAGTGTACAAGAGACATTTTAAACATATCATTAAGCAAAATCAGATCTGACTGAAGGTAGCCAAACCATAACATTATTTTTATTCATTCATGAGATGTAGGATTCACTGACTGGGCCAGCAGTATTGCCTTTTCCTAACATGCTAGCCCAATCAGTGAATTCTACATCTCATGAATGAAAACATGCTTGTGTGTTGCCTCCTTGAACTGCTGCAGTCCATTTGGTGTAGGTATACCCACAATATGCAACTGAATCTGTGAACCATGGATGTACAAACCATAATTTTTATCACCACCCCGCTTGCAAAAATGTGCTGGGTTTGTGGGTGTTGTGAGGGGAGGTGGGAATTCTGGATTTGGGGTGCTGACTATTTATGTGCATAAATTCAGTTCCTATTCTCTCAGGCTTGAAAAATATACATAATGTCAAGCAAGTTTTGATCCAATTCATCCAATTTGCAGTGGGTTTGAGCTCAAAATACTATCCACCAACTGGTATGAAGAGAGCAGCCTGACTCAAAGTTGAACCTTTCAGTTCTGAAGATGTCATACTGGACTTAAAATGTTTACCCTTTCTCCATGGATGCTGCCAGATCTGCTGAGTTTTTCCAGCTTTCTCTGTGCATGTCTCAGATTTCCAGCATCCATGCATTTTGCTTTTATTCAAAGATAATTATAACTGACATGGAAAAAATATCTCAGCCTGATGCAATTAGATAGGCCTTAAGAACTATCTATGTTTTAAGGAACATTGTTAGATCCAAAAATATCATATGCATTTGGCATCAGTATACCTATAACGGCAGTCTTGATGTAAGCAATGACTAACCAATGCTGAAAGTAATGTTCAAATCATCCAAAAATATCAACTGGAAATGATTAATCAGTTTCAGTGTTTTGCAGACTAATTTCACAAGTTTCATCACCTAAACCCCTTTCAGGAACAAAATAACATGTTCACTTCTTTGTACTGAAGATCTTACCTATTTCATCAGTACTCCACCAGCCAAACATGCTACCTTATCTGACTAACATGACACTCGTTTCTTATTTTGATAATTCATTTTTTGCTTTAGAAAATGAAAATATACAATCAAAAATAGAGTCTTCGGATAATAAGGAAGGAATGTATCTTCAGTCTTTGGGGACAATTTACAATATTGTACACCAAGCTGCTTGAACATAGCAGTGGAAAATAGATGTTTGACTTGAGCCAGATGCAAAGGGGAAAGTCCCATTTTTGCAAACTAATTTTCAGGCAGAAGAAATACAAAAATCCTGTTATTTGGTGTTAATATTCAGACTGTCATCTGATTCTCCACAATAAATTGCAGTAAATGCTTTTCTTAAAAATTCAAGAAATTTGAAAAATGATAGAAGATTGTGGAAGTCTCTTCTTTCAGACCTGGATTGATACCAATTTCAAAATATAAGAATAAGGACCTATCTTTTATTACATTCCTTGAATGCAGTGAATGAATCAATGAACATAACGTTTGTGAGATTCTACTTTATAATGATCCACTTTCAAAATGCATAACTTTTTTTTCATCAGGGATTAGAAAATATCTGTATCTCAAACCACACTAATTATAGGGATAAAGAAAATAGTCTCAAAAACTGTAAAATACAGTGAAAGCACTTTCGAAAATCTATCCTTGAGACATTCTCCAGATGGCCTTTACAGACAGCTGGTCTCCTGAGGCATCAGGTTTGAATCATTAATTCACTTGTTGGCTGGCAGGATCATCAGATAAGCTAGTTTCAATACACAGGGGCTCTATAAGAAGGATTTCACTGTGCAGCTTAGTCTGTATGTTCAGACGAGCTTGGAAACAAAAAAATTCAGACAGATTACAAACTCATTTAAATATCTAAACTTTATTTTCAAAGAACGAAACACATAGAAACAGATTATACTTTTTTTTTATTGAAATGAGTGAATTTGACAGGTTTGGGTAAACCCTCCTGATAAAATAAAACCAGGTTCATCATTACTGCTGTAGGTTCCAAACAAAACACTCCTTGTAAAACCCTGGATGGACTGACATCTTGCATGTTTCTATCAGGTTAGGTCAAGCCATGATAATGTGTGCTTTACTGTTTTTACAAATTGCATATGTCAAAAGGAGTCTAAAAATGTTTACCAGATAACAGGAGGGAGCACAACACAAGGTCAAAACTTTTACTAACTGGGTTGATTAGATGTGGTCTGGGGCACAGCCAAGATTTTATCAGCTTGCTTCGGATTTTGGATTTCTTGAAAAATGGATAATCATGTTCTTTGACAAGAAACACAATCCCACGCTTGAGGAAAAACTTGGCACAGAGTTTCCAGTAACACTATTGAATTTATATCAGTGGTTAAATGGCTCAAAACTGTGATCGGGTTTGGCTGGGTTTTAGCTCAGACCACACCGGCCCATTAATCTGAAATGCTATCCATTTGCTCATTTGTACCAGGTAAATAATGATTTTAACAGTTGGGCTCTTCAAATATCACATTATTTTAATGTGCTTTGTAAAAATGTCTTTCTGTTTTAATGCTTAGCCTGGTATTGGATTAAATAAATCTGTTTCTTAGATTCTTTGCACATTCTAGTGAATACCATTTTCCTTTCGTGTTACGACAATTTCACAAAAATATTATTAGAATCAGTTGAAAGCACTTCAGCAGTGGGCCTTAATGCAGCTCCTTTGAGTGGCAATATTTTCATTTAATGGCTCCTTTGAGTGGTCGTCAGACTATGAATACTTGATTTAAATGCAAAGATTACATTACCACAACCATTACTTTTTCTGATACAGGACTGGCACCCTTATTATGGAAGTTCAATCATTTTAGATTACTTAGCTGGCAGGATGGAGTACCTTTACTAGTCTTGGCAGGGCTACCACAATTTCCAGGCCCTGCCTACTTGCACACATAACAGCTACTCATTGTACTAACACTGGCCGAATATACTTATTTAATCCTTTATTGTACACAACATAACAACACAAAGTTGTTTTATCTGTACAGCAATTGCCTGAAATCAAAAGGCATTTACCATTGTCACTGAAAAGAAACATACAGCTCATTTTTTAAAAAATATCAATTTATTAAGTAGTCCATAAATAGGCTTTTTTTTTCTTTAAGATGCAGGAAACCATATTTCCTTGGTCAAAGGCTTCTGTGAAAAAAAAAATCACTCATTTATCCCATACTCCGGAACCAGAAAGCCAATCCTAAAGCAGGATAAGGCACCGGTGCTAAATCGTGCTTTACCTTCAGGTCTTTCGGTGCTGTCTGTTGATTTCTATCAAAGAATTGCGTGCATGAGCCAGTTCCCCATTCCTAGCTTGCTGGAAATGCCATCAAACTGAAAGACGAGCATAGAATTCCCAATCTGTTACAAGGCAGTGTTCCTTCACTGTAACATATTTAAAGTGTCACACGGTGCTTTCCATTATCCACTCAGAACTTGAGAAAGTAGCTTTCCCACTATCAGCATCAGAGTTTTCCAACTGTAACAACATTCCATTCATTGACATGCTTCTTTTTGACCACAGGCTGCTAATCTTTTGTGAATGAGTATAGCAGTGATACTCCGATAAATCTCCATTGAGTGAGTATCTCCGTTTAGCTCTGCTTGTTTCTGTTGGCAGAGTAAGATACTTAATGGACTTAGAGTGTGCTCGTCTAAATGTGGGTGTCTCTTTCAGAGAAATTGGAGCACAGGAGGGCTTCTGTGAAATTGCAGTATTTTCCCTTTTCTTTTTGGATGTCTCAACATTGGTGAAAGCTTCCATTGGTCTTTCGACACTTGACTTTGGCCCAGCCTTTCTTTTCAGCTTTTGAGATGCAGTAACACCTGTAGTCCAGTCAGGTGGTACAATGGAGGTAGTGGTAACACATTCCTGGCTCATGGTAGAATCTGACGATTGTGATTTGGGATCTTTATGATACTGTGTGTTCTCTTCATGACCCATGATGACTTTAGAATTTGAATGGGTTATTATTCCACTGCACATTTGCAAATGAGCTCCATTTGTCTGAGAATAGACATTACTGACCTTTGTCATCTTGTGTGGGTCATTATTGTTGCACACCTTGTATCTAATCATTAATATGATAATAAAGACCAACACAGAAGCCACAATAATTCCACCGATTATAATTATCATGGTTCCTCCCAGAAACTGAGATGGCATAAAATGACAGCGAACATAATCCTCGTCTGTAGTAAACTGTATGCAGCCAACAACCCTGGTAGCTGTGAGGGAGGTGATACCATCATCGTAGATTGCTAAGACACACAGGTCATATTGAGTTCCTGCAGCCAAGTTAGTGACAAGGAAGCTTTTGCTTGTGGAAGGAATCATTCTGAGGGACAATACATGGACTTGCATTAGTTCACCTTCAACACTTCATTTTTTTCTCTTATTAAAAAAAAGTATGCTTTTTATTAACATAACTGAAACCTTAAAACAACATACACGTGCAGGTATCTGAGGCTAAATAACCACGCTAGGCTTTGGACATAATTCATTGAAGGCCTACATTATAAGAATGTTACTTTCAATTCAAAAACAGGCATGTTGTCATTTTGAGGGAAAATTTAAAATCAGTTCCCAGGCTAAGGGAAAAAAAATACATGAAAGTCAATTACAAAGCAACTGCATTATTATTGAGGAAGTCAGAGTCTGATTGATTTTGGACATCTTAATCTGAAGTGTCTTTTTGAAACTTTTTTTTAAGTGTTATCATACAATAGTCAACCTTCCATAGAGAGACGTGAACTGTGATGTGGCAGCATGCACAGAATAAATAAGATTATAGTACAGGATTAAGGATCAGTATGGTATTATGAGAGCTTTAATCTTGCTTGTTTATTACCATGCAAAGAAAAACACTGCATTAATAATTGACCGTGTCCTCACAGAGCTCACATGAAGCTGTAATGTGACAGTGGTTTCACCTCTATTTATGTACTGTAAAAGAACACTGCATTAACAAAATCAATACAGGACCAACTGATTAAATACTAGAGTGCAGAAACAGCTGAAAGAGCTTACCTGTAAACAAGTGAATCATCGTAAGAACCATTATACTGAATCTGGAACATACGAATGCCAGGGATATTATGTTGCAAATTAAATTTAATAAGTGCAGATGATGATGATGTTTCAGCAACTTCCACCCTCTTTTCTGGTTTGGCCTTAGTGTCACTAACACTATTACTAGTGTTTGAGCCAGATTTAGTCGAAGTAGAAATGTCTGATGAGCCAGGATCAGGCTCATGAATGTGATTTGTACTGTTGACTAAATGTGGGAGTTTGATAATATGAAGTTCCACTGCTGCTGTGGTTTCTCCAGCAGCATTTGAAGCAATGCAGGTAAAAGTGCCTGTATCTTTGACAGTAGTTATAAGGATGTCTAAGGTTCCATTATTATATAAAGCTGTCCGTGTTGAATTTGAAATTAGCTTGCCTTCAGGTGAAGTCCAGTGTATGGAGGGGTCTGGATCCCCAATGGCCTTGCACTTCAATGTTGCACGTTGACCTTCTAAAACTCTGAGCTCGTGCGTATAGCGAGTAATCAGCGGCTGGTCGCAGATAAACTCTTCTTCTGGGATTGACCAAAAGTAACGACCTGTTAGTTGTGAAGGTGAGGCACAGGTCTCCAGATCATCATCCCGTGAAAGACGGCGCAGCCAGAGTAACTCACAGTTGCAATGTAAGGGATTTCCTCCAAAGCTCAAAGTAAAACTTGGTGGGTTCAGGAGTCCTGAGTAGGCTAGTACCTGAGCTCTCGTGAACAAGGTATCAGGTGGTAGCTTCCGCAATTTATTAGACGTCATGTCCAATCGAGTCAACTTGTGAAGATGGGAAAAAGTCCCCTCGTCAATTTGTTCAATCATGTTATGGTCCATGCTGAATGTATGCAAGTTGACCATTTTCTGAACTGCTTCCCAGGGAATAGATTTTAAATTATTATAGGATACATCCAACTCTTCAAGAGACAACAAAATATCATTAAAAGCTTCAGAGGAAATGTCAATTAGTTGGTTGTTATTAACCACTAAATGGTGAAGGTTTGAAAGTCCACTAAATATGTCATTTGTGATCTGGGTTAGTCTGTTGCTATTCAAATGTAAGGCCCGCAAATTGCGCAGGTCTGCAAATGCTTGCGGTGCAACATAATTTATTGTATTCCTTGACAATGTAAGGTCTACCAGGCTGGTCATATTAGCAAAGTCTTTCCTTTTAATGATTGTAATAAAATTATCTCCTAAACGTAGCTCCACTGTCCTTCTGTCAATGTTTGCTGGGACAAAGAGAAGTCCTTTTTTGGCACAAAGAGTTGCAAGGTTTGGAGACAGATTTTGACAGATACAACGCTTGGGACAGACCTGGGCCCTCACTGTCATACCAATTAACAGCAGATAAAAAAGCAGTTTTTCCATTGTAAATCAGGGTAACTAGCCTGGAACAGAAACAGAATGTTTAGGAGATCTTTGGAAGAACCAAACATCATTCACTCAGTATAGTCCATGTGTTCTAAAGCATTTGTCAAACAAAAGAAGTTGTTCGAAATAATTCCTAGTGCAAATGTATTGATATTCTTTTAAAATATTGAGCAGTATGATGATATGGCGTGCTGACACACCAATGCATTGGGTAATAGAATAAATTGAGATAGATTAGTCTAGGAGTAAACCTATGTGGTTGGGTCTCAAGTTTGACTGTTCAGTGAGCTGTTAATATAATTATTTACACACTAGGTTAAAATAGTAAGCAAAGCACCCTGGCTTACTATGCACCAACAAATTGTGGGATCAATATGAAACTTTACAGATATTTGACAGTAAATGATCCACAGTGTCTTGTAGTCAATTAGTACTGTAAGATGTAAAGATTAAAAAGATTTTGGACAAATAAGTGGGGATGATGATCTAAAAAGTTAAAAAAGTATACAGCACTGTTAATAACTTAATGCAATATTGATTATACATACACATTCAGATTCCATACAACAGAGAAATCTATTCAATTATTAAGCACACTGTCTGAAAAATATGTGGCAACTGAGAGTGCTTAATGACAAATTTGGGTTCTGTGAAGTTAGCACAATTTAAGTTGCTTATAAAAACTAATAGTAAATTGAAAATGTGATGTACTCTACCAAGAAATAATTTGTTCCCTGTAATACTTACTGTTTTATTTATTTGTGAAATGCCAGGTAAAAATGTGATAGTGATAGCAACCTGAACAGTAAGCAAAATAATTAATACATTAACAAACCTCCCAAAGCATTGTTCATAGTGATTTAGAGATTTTGTAAGAACAGGATGATTACCAGCTGGGGACCTGACGTATTAATATTCAATGATGAATGTTGAGGAGCCCTGAGAAAGGGTCTGAGTATACACTCCAAAAGAGGGCCTACCTCAGTGAGTACTGGAATCACTGGAGAAGGATCCCGACATCTCTCAGAGAAGGAAATACCATCATCCAGGAACATTGAGCGTAGTCCTTAAATCAATGAGTCTGGGAAATTAAGTCTTGGGAATTTTAAGGCTTTCCAGGATCTGAGAATGGAAGGAAGTTCTGGATTCAACTAAGCTAGGAAACAGTCCTAACGGCTTTTAGGGTAGCAAACAGGCGAAACTGACGATTGTTGTGATTGAATAATACTGTAGATGGGATCAACAAGTCTTATGAAGCTCCAGAAAATGTCACCCAGGCTATCCTTTTGGAACACGAGGTACCAATTCCCCTCCTTTCTCCATCACCATGGCCTCACATCCTCCTTGATTCAACAACAACTCTCTTACACTACAATCTCAAACATCTCATTGATTTGGTCTCCATATCCAATTTTACTGTCATAGATTAAGGCATCTTGTTCACTGGTGAGTTAATGATTCACACAACCTTAAATAAACATAAATTTCCACAAAGAAATATAAATTATCTCAAGAAATATTCAAAGTGTGCTGTTTATGCAGTTTTCTGGGTTTTAATTTTTGAAAATTACTTAGTTTAAAATTATTCAGAAAAGCAAGTATTTTACTGAGGAAAAGAAAATATAATACCAATAAACAATATTTGGTAAGAATTAAAATATAATAAAGAAAGTAATTCTTGAAATTACGACAATATTAAATAACAGGTGGTGCTTGGTTGAGTATTTCATATTGGTAATATTTTAGATGAGACAAGTTGAAAATAGAAACAAAGTAAGATATAAACCCCTCAGAGAACAATTTGAAGTTTTTGTTTCTCATTTCAATCAATACTGTATTGTGGGTGTAAAATTCAGAATCCACAGAAATGCATAAAATCTTCCAACTGTTTTCTGTAAAAATAAATCCAGTTGGAATCCAACATTTGCAAAAGGTTTTCTGAAATTTTAATGCAACTATCAAAAAAGTACATTAAAATTCCTTGTTTATGAGCATGTTGTTTAATTAACCTTAAAGTTAAAATTTAGTCACTAATAAGATTAACTTAATGAAAACAAAATCAGAATTTTTTCAAATACTTAGTTTTTTATAAATCAATTAGTTGCTCAACAAAGCATGATGTGTATAATTATCTATTTAGATATAATTTTTCTCATTAGGACTGATGACATATAGAAAATTCTATCGTAAATGTTCAAAGGAGCAGTTCAATGTTAAGATGTCAACATGAGAAATACGACTAAAAATCTCTGATCAGGAAGTAAGGATTGTAGGCAGGTAAGAACACGCCAAATGCATGGTATTTAATAAATAAATTTTAAATGATGTAGCAAATGAAAAATTGTATCATCAACGCATCAATATTTCTGCTGATTATTTCAAAGGAAAAATGTAAGTGTATGATATATATTTAATGCATATCATAAAACATTTTTTTTTAGCTATCTAAAACAATCTTACAAAAAACTGCAGATCATTTTTACATGTGCACTCCATTTCACAGATTTCAGCATTTCAGAAGGGAGCTGTCACTGACTTAGTGGTTAATTTCTAATTATCGCTCTGAGGTAGAAAATACTAAATGGAGAAAGTATGGCTGGATTTAATGTAATTTGAAACCTTAATATGTCATTATGAACTTCAAATAGTGTAATTAAAAGTCTCCAGTTTAACAAATAGTCTCATTCGTAGCTGCAGAGGAATTGTAATGACAGTCATTCTAAATTATAGAAGTGTAGGTAAGACACAGACACAATAGTGTATTAATATTTATTATATTCAAACACCTTTTCTCGCAATTCAACAAGTAATGGGATTATTTGACAATTTTTTGAAGCAGAGTGCATTCAAAATATCTCTGAATGGCTGTCCAGTAGCAATTTTAAAGCCATCATATCAGGTTTGGAACAAGCCATGTTAAAAAGTAAGTTTGTTAATGCAGCAGTGTTAAAACATTTCATGGTCAGTTATATTAAAAACAATCTACCAGCATTGTTGCATTCAGCAGTAACAAGGCTGTCAATTTCCAATGCTCTTTCTGACTCTGCTGAGATGTGACAGATCACACAATACACCAAAGGGAAAGCAAATGTGAAACATAAATTAATGAACTTATAGAAAGATAGAACTATATTGACAGAAAGCTTCGATTCTGTTGTGAACAATTTAATATAAATGCAATTCTATGTCTATTCAGCTGTCTGTCCTATTATTGCGATGCTTATTTATTTTAAATAAGGCTCAAACCTTTAAAGTAGGCTATTATAATATAAGTGGCAATCACTATATTAAATTGAAAATCAATCATTCAGATTTGGGTTATGATCAATTGGGCACCAGTTATAAGCGACTGATGCTATTAGCTTACTTCTCTGACATGAGTTAGATATTATTCTAAGCACTGATCACAAATATATTTTGTAATTCTAATTATGTCATACATTTCTGACCTGACACAAACATTCAAGGGAACAAGTCCATATTTTTAAAATTAATTGTCATCCAGATAATTGTTACTTAATTAACATTTATTTCTCAGAGTTTATGCTCACTTTATTTTATAGAGATGGAAATTTCCTATACTTACATGAGGGCAAAATGGTAGCTTGTGATAATAGATGAAATTACCTGGGAAAAATTGGTTCAGGTGATAAGATATGGAATCACTCTACCAAATACAATGTCACTATATGAAAGCTTCCTCTGGTTCATAATGGTTCTGTTTGAGGTTTCTCATACTGATGTGCTAAATACAATGCTTCGCTGAAATATTGAACTGTTGTTGTTTCCACTTTGCATTTAAATGGACAGTGATTTCCTAACCTGAATTAACCAAGAAGTGTTAAGTTCAAAAATCCATGAAGAAATATGATATGGTCAAATTTAGGATTCTTTGGTATTGCTTAGGCTTTCAGTCCCAGAAAACCCTCTTTACAACATTGCTTTCTGACTGTGAAACAAACTGAAATGGAACAAGATGCCCAAGTTGAATCATGTAGATTCAGAGTTTTCACCCTTAAAATTAAATGCTGGCAGGTCTGTAGTCAGGTGTTTTATGAGTTCTTCTCTCTTCTGTCTACATACGTGACTAATTAGCAGTTGCTGGTCAACATTCAGCAATGTTCAATCTTTCTAAGATCTTTGGGTTGCAATATCCAGCAATTGTTTTAATAAATACAGAGTTTGTCTCAGTTATTTGTTTCTATTTTGTCTTTGATTAATTTAATCAGATCTCCATTAAAGTTAATGCCTTTTACTACAGGTGAACATTTTTGGTTATTTAATTTAAACAGATTCAAACCCACATCTTTGACTAAATTTCATTTTGCTTAAAGATGGAAAATTTATAAGTAACAAAAATAACTAATAATTAAAATTTAATGACATCTGATTGACATTACAAAGTGACATTGTTTAACAAGGTAATTTTGCAAGATAAAAACTCCACTAAATTAGAACTCCTCTATGTTTGAAGCAATTGAGTTTTGCATCAACGTCAGAATTCAACTTATGCCTCCTTCCCAAAGTTTCAAGGCTGTGTGTTTCAACTACTTTACCATTATATATGCCTTACTATTAACACACTGGATGTTGCTCATTGGCTCCCCTCTGCCCCTGTTAAATGGCTTTATGTTTTATGTGTGAATTGCACTGCGTTGCCTGCTATGTTGTGGGTGAAGGATTGTGGGACATTAAATCAGGTTTCAATTTGACTTGGAGATAGTAGGAACTGCAGATGCTGGAGAATCCGAGACAACAAGGTGCAGGGCTGGATGAACACAGCAGGCCAAGCAGCATCATAGGAACAGAGAGGCTGACGTTTCGGGCCTAGACCCTTCATCAGAAAAGGGGGAGGGGAAGGTTCATCCAGCCCTGCACCTTGTTGTCTTCAATTTGACTTGTCTTTTTTCATTTGTTGAATTGAAATTGAAGCTATGATCAACTCAAACTCGAATCATACTTTTTCCATAGGATGGCAAAAAAAATCTCACAGTGGATCATTTCCA